CCCCCCCCCCCCAACCCTCATTCCCCATTTTCTCCCTACCCCCGAGAAGTCCCACTGCCTACCAGCGTAGTGCTGGCTTCCCACAGGGTGGACAGAAGCCCTTCCTGAAGCAGCTTTGCACCACTTCTGGGGATTCCGGAAGTGCGCTGGCTGCTCCCCTCCCACAGCTCTGTAGCATGCCGGGCGCGCTGTGGAGGGGGTGTCACCCCCGGAGGAGGAGCGTGGCACCGGCGGCTTCCCTGCACCGTGACCGCACTACTCGAGGGGTGAGTCGAGTGCAGGGATTTTGACTGTGCCGTGTGAGGGGGGTTTGGCCCCAGGGCCGGGGCGGATGCGAGCGGGGGATTGGCCCCACCACATGAGGGGAGTTTGGCCCCGGCCCCTGGGGCAGGGGTGGGACTGCGGGAGGGGTTTTGTCTGCGCCGCAGGAGGGAGGTTTGGCCCTAGGGCAGGGGCGGCAGCGGGAAGGGTTTTGTCTGCGCTGTGGGAGGAGGGTTTGGCCCTGGGGCAGGCGCGGGAGGGGTTTTGGCCAGCTTCCCTCGGGAGGGGGGGAATCCTGGGAGGAGGTGGGTTCAGGGGACTCTGTCCCCACTCCCCTCCTGTTCCCTCTCCCCACTCTCCAGCCTCAGAAACCTGTCCCCACTGGCATCCTGTCCCCTGCCCTCCCAGCCCCCTGTTCCCTCTTCCCTCCCAGCCCCCTGTTCCCTCTCCCCAGCTGCAGAAATCTGTCCCCACTGGCACCCTGTCCCCAGTACTATGTCCCCTGCTCCCACCAACACAGTGGGGGCCACATTAGTGAAGCTTTTGGGGGGGTTGGAGGAGGGTTTTTTTGCAGCTCCCTTGTATGGCCCCAACTGAATTTTCTGTGGGTCAGTGACCCCTGACTCAAAACAGGTTCCCTGCCCTTCTCAGAAATAAAGGCAATGCTGAAACTTTTTGTGTTTGACGTAGTATTTTATTTAAAAATGAAGCCTGGCCAACAAACCCCCCATTGGGGCCAAGCCCCCATCTGGCCACAGCATCATAGCACTCCTGCACTCCCCTTTCCCCCAGACCCTACATCTGAGCTTATCATACACTGGAACCCTGAGCCCCTCACATACCCCAACCCAAATTCCTAAACCCTCACATCCAGAAGTCTGCAGCTTGCTTAGTACATCTGACCCCAACACTGCCCAGCCTGGAGCCCCCTCCCTGAGCAAGCGTTCCCTTGTCCACCTCCTCCTGCATCCAGATTTCCTCCCAGAGCTTGCACCTCTCACCCTTTCTCACACCCAAATCCCTCGTTCCCACCCCAGAGCCTACACATCCTGTCTCAACCCAGCGAGGGTACAGCTAGACTGCAGGAGTTTTTCAGGATTCTGGAGATATCCCAGAAAAACTCTTCTGCATCCAGGGATGTGTTTGTTCTTCCACTTCTTTTAGTGGAAGAGCAAACATGATCTTTCCTGAGGAAATAAGGGGGCTTCCAAAAGAAGGGAGTGTAACGGGCACTTTAAATTGTGATAATTTACTTCTCAGTTCAGTTTAATTTTAAAAGACTCACAGAACATAATAGGGCAGTAGTGTTAAATTTAAAATACGTGGTGGGGATGCTTTTTTTTAGCATGCGAATATTACTGTATTTGTAAATGTTTTTTTTTTAAATTTGATGTTTGTTCCTTGTCAAGTTCTCTGAAGATCTATGGACTTGACGTGAATTTTGTAAGTGACTAGAGACTTCTTTATTGGTTTTTTCCAAAATGTCCTGTAATGTTATTTTTATCACTACCTTTTGTGTACTCTATCTATGGGCTCATATAGACTACACCAAACGGTTGAAAGACAATTTTTAATTTTTAATTCAGGATCATTTCACATTAGCGTTTACCGCCTGCGCGTTTTTGGGTCACACACTAGGGATTCAAAGGGGTTGTGACTCTTGTGTGAGGTGGGTTGTTTGTTTGTTTGTTTTGCTTAACAAAAATATCCTGGGTGCCGGGGCTCTGTCGAAACTGTTTGAATTTGGCCCCTCACTTCCCCTCACAGACACTCTGGTGGACAAGATTTTTTTTCTCTTTCTCTCCGCATCTCTCCTCCTTTTCTGCCAATTTGTACCTCTGGACCCCTTGCTCCATTCATCTGAAGAAGTGGGTAGTGCCCACGAAATCTAATACTGTCTACATTTTTTCTTAGTCTGTAATGTGCTGCATGACCATTTGTTGTTTTTTAAGGTGGGTAAGGTAATATATTCTTTTTGGGACCAACTTCTGTTGGTAAAACAGATGAACTTTTGAGCTACACCGAGAGCTCCTCTCAGGTATGATTTTTTTTTTAAATTACTCTCTCTAATAAACTGACTAAGGGATTATTGAAAACCAAAAGGATAATGATTTTTATATAACAAAACTGACCTCTACTTCTTTCAGAAAAATCCCTATTTTAAAAGGGAGACGACATGCTGGGGGAAATATTTTAAGCAAACATCTTTCCAGTTAGTGTCCTTGAACAATGTCCCTCCTTTTACAAATGCTCTCCTCCTCTCTGCGCCGTTATTGCTGCTAAATCAGATGTATGGCAAGGGAAATGCATGCACTGGCTCACAGGAATGCTTTTTTGATAATTAACAAAATACTGAATCCTAAAACAGTAAATATTTCCTAAAGAAAAACTGTAAACCTGATTTTATTAAACATCTCATAAGCTTGATAGCAAATTATGTGGTGTTCTGGTTCCACAATCATCTCAGGAAGAGCAAAAAGGGAGAGGGGATAACTTG